GCGCCCGGAGCAGGGGTCTGAGGCTCCTCCCGGCGTCTGCTCGTGCGTCCTGGGTCTGACTAGGGCTGAGGGAGGGGACAGGAGGAAAGGTCCCGCTGGTAGCTGCGTCGCCCCCTGTCCCCGGTGGTGAGGGGCGAGTGTGGCACAGCTCTGAGCACCTCACCCACCCCTTCACCGCCTGCTTCTGTCTGGCATCACAGAGGAGGAGTCTCGGGTCAGATCACCACAGTGCTCCCCGCCTCCTTCTGAGCTAAATTTGAATAGCAAGAAGTCCTGCTCACAGGGTCAGAGACCCTCCTGTGCGGAGCTGGCGTGGAGCTGAAGCTCGGCTCCTCTGCGGTGGACGCCGCCCTGTCTGCCAGCTGCCCACAGTGGGCCTGAGTGGCGTCTGTCTGCGGCACGTCTGAGGGGAGATTGCACACGAGGCTTCCCGGAAGGGGCTCTGAGCTCTGGGGTGTAGGGCCGCCCAAGGCTGGGGCCAGGACTCCCGGGTGCCCGGACCCGCTGTCCCCACTGTCCAGGCTTGCTGTGTCGGAGGGAAATGCACTTGGAACTCTGGTGTCTGGGCGGAACGAGGCCGGGTGTGTGTGCAGGGCTCGGGGCAGAGCCGAACTGGCCATGTGTGTGCAGGGCTAGGGGCAGGGCCAGGGCTGGCCGTGTGTGTGCAGGGCTCAGGTGGATTAATGGGTCTCCTCAGAGCACCCTGCAAAGCCATATCCCAGGGACGCCCGCGGGATGGCTGTGGGGTCTCTGCCAGGATCTTCTTTACAAAGATTCTCATCTAGGCACTCGTTTACGTACATGATTGTAAATGATTTAGTGTTAACAAAGGCCTTTGCTCTTAGGCCCTGGGGGCTGGACTGTAGGGAACACTGTGCCCTGAAGCGGGCTTGAGCCAGGCCAGTGGCCAGTCTGCTCAGTGGCCGTGAGAGCTTCAGGCTGGGGCCTCTCCCTCCGTCCTAAGACTTACTGACTTATTGGAAGGGGCAGATCATCGGCAGTGCTCGGGGAGGGCTCTGGGGTCTGTGCTCAGCTATGTCTCCTCCATGCTCGGGGCCCTCTGCAGGGTGGGGACTGGGGCCCAGGGCGGCCCCCGTGGCCAGCGCCTGCCCCTCTGTGCTCGCTCACTCGCCCCTGAGCATCTCTGGCATCGTTGCTGTGTCTGCAGCCAGGAGGGCAGGTGGGGTGCCCCTGCCATGGTGATGCCGGCGTGGAGACATCCCACCGGGGACCCGGAGAGCGAAGTTTGGTGCCTGGCACCGAGCGACGGCGGTGATTTGTGTTTGCTCCCTTGGGAAAGTCTCCAGGTGTAAGCCTGCTCTTGCCTGAGGTTTAGGGGCGCCACGAGCTCCGGCGGGCCAGAGCCTGTCGTGCTTCTGATTCAGGGTCGTTGCTCAGCCTCCGAGCCGAGAATCGAGCCTCTCCCGCAGGTGTGGGCTCATCCCGCCGGAAGCTGACTGTGGGGGCCTGCAGAGGGGAGATGAGCTGAGGCGAGTGGCAGCAAGACGGGCGGGGCGCTTCTGTGGAGTTGATGGGCAGGGGGAGAGATGTCCCGGGACGAGCCCAGAAGATGCCGAAAGTCATTGATCACAGACCCGGGTCAGAGACTTAGCCTGGCCTTGTGTGGGGGTGGGACTGTCTGAGGGGGAAGTGGCCTGAGCCACATGCCCGCCCCTCAGGGCTCTTGGTGTCCCCAGGGGACGGTTGAGCTGTTCTGGGAGGGGGGAGCTGGAGCCGCCATCTGGCCGTGGCCCTTCCGTGACTCCGGAGCCTGCAGGGGCCCAGGGAAGGGGTGCCAGGGGCCGCCGCCATGCCTGAGAGAGGAGAGGGGAGGGGAGAGGAGCCTCGCTTTGGCCGCCCACCTTGAGCCGCCCCTCCCCTGCCGCCTGGCTTCCTGGAGCCTTGTCGCGGTGTCCTGGGAGGTGCTGGAGAGAACAGGTCTCGGTCCGTCTTAAGATGAGCTGGTGGTCACATTATGGGTGGGCATCCTGTCAGCCCAGCACGGCCAGAGCTGCCTCCATGGCATCCAGGGCTCGTGTCCACTGTGCTGTCCCAGGCTGGCCCGTCCACGGCGCATGTCCACTCTGCTGTCTCGATCTGGCCCGTCCACGGCTTGTGTCCACTCTGCTGACCTGAGCTGGCTCGTCTATGGCTCGTGTCCACTGTGCTATCCCGAGCTGGCCCATCCACGGCTGATGTCTAGGTGTCAGGAAGCAGATGGGTGACTCTGAGGGGGCCCCGTGACCACGCCCACGCGTGTGCACACACATGCACCCACGCATCCTGAGAGGGAGCCTCTGCTCACGGTGGACACCGGGCCTGGTTCTGCGCAGGGGGTGGAGGAGGGGCTGGGCGGTGTGTTGGGGGGGGCTGGCCCCCAGCAGTGTAGGAGGGAAGCTGTGTGGCCTCACCAGCACTCGGCAGTGGACAGGAGGACGTGGTGGAGCAGTGGACAGGAGGATGTGGCGAGGGCATTGGCAGGAGGGCGTGGTGGGGGCAGTGGACAGGAGGACTGGCGCGGGCAGCCTCCCACTGGGATGCAGAGCGACCGGTAGAGGACTGTCCCTTCCGCCTTCTGCTTTCATCTCTTGGGAATGTTCCTGGCCGTGGCCCCGAGATGTCCCTGTCCTGACTTGCTCCCCCGGAGGCTGCTTGTGCCCTTCATCTGTCCATGGGTCATCGGCCAGTTCGAGTCTCTCCCCGAGATTAATCTAAGATGGGCCCTTACGGAATGACCCTTCTCAGTGCTCGGTGCCTTTGAGGAAAGTGTGAGGGGGCGAGTGGTCACTGTTAGTCTGGGGCCAGGCGCTCTCAATCGTGGCATGGACAGGCTCCGGAAGGCTCACGGGGAGACACAGCAACCCTAAGGTCGCTGAGACAGCAGCTCCCCGTCTGACACGGCCCTCCGTGGACGACCTGGACCAGCCTCGGCGAGGTCGGGGTCCGGGTGTTCAGGCAGCCAGCACCTGTCCCTCCAGCCCTCCACCCCAGAGCAGGGTTCCAGGACAGGAGTGCGGGCCCGTCTTCTTGTGAGATCCTCTTTGGATGAGGGTGAAATAGTCGTTCTCGAGTGTTGTAGATGGATCTGTCACACTGGTAGACAGATTAAAGCTGTTGTCTTCGCCCCTGGAGGTGTCAGATGAGACGGACGGGAATCTTGTCTTTTATTCTCTCGTTTTGTGGAATCCGGAAGCACAGCCAGGGGCAGGTCTGATGGGCAGTGTTCCTCGGTCCCAGCCGCCCGGCCTGGCTGTGCTGGGGATCGGGTGACAGTGGGGGATATCCCCTGCTTGTCCTGGTTGTGGGGAGGCCCCGGGTGTCTAGTGATGCGAAACAAGTTCCCGTGGACCGGTAGAGCCAGCTGGGTCCCCTGCAGTCCGTTGGAGGAGGTTCCACCTGTTGCTTGTTCTGGGGCCCCTTTGTCCATCCCTGGGAGGGGACACTCCTGGCAGGGCGGGGCCGTGGCCTGTCCTCCCTCCTGGCGGGGCGGGCCTGTGGCCTGTCCATCTGAGCTCTCCTCCTGCAGGGTAGGGCTGTGGTCCCTACGACTGTCCACCTGGCAGGGCCGTGCCTGGTGACTCAGGCACTTGCTTTCTGGGACGGGTCAGGGAGCCTGTGCGGGACACGGTGTGCTGGGCGTGTGGTGTCAGTTCTGCGGGTATTTTGGGAACCAGTAAATGTCACTGCGTGTTTCCGTGCCCAGGAACCTCCCTCAAGAGACCAGGGTGATCTGTGAGGTGGGACCTGGCCAGGCCCCTCAGCAGGCAGAGGAGGTGACCGCAGTGGACTGTGGTGGGTGCAGGAACACAGTGGCCGGCCAGCGCCCAAGCCCTCTCTGGGCCTGTCAGGGGACACAGTGGCCGGCCAGCGCCCCTACCCTCTCGCCCTCCCTGGGCCTGCGGGGAGACTCAGGCCCTGGCTGCCCCCGGGGGGAGATGAGGAGAGAGGGGTGGCCGTGCCCGGGATACAGGAGGCCCTCGTGCCCCCTGTGGGCAGCTTCTGTCCCGACACTGATGACTCCTTTCAGGCCAGAGCAGTGGGGCAGCCCGAGTGTCACTCCAGGGGCAGCGGCCAGGAGGGCAGAGCCTGACCCCTGTGCAACTCAGCGGGTGGGGGGCAGCGCCTGAGAGCCAAGCCGTGGTCAGCGACGCTCCGTTCAGCTCAAGCCGCCATGAGGAAGTCAGGCAGGGTGTCGTGAGCTCGTGGGGCCCAGCTCTCTTCGAGCTCGCCCTGAGGAATTGGCCGCCCCTCACCCCCTTCTCAGGGTTGCTCCTGGCTCTGAGCTCAGTGATCACTTCTGGTGGGGCGCAGGGGAGACCCGCTGGGGTGCTGGGATGGAACCCGGATCGGCCTGGGCCTCCCTCCCAGAGCTTGGGTGAATCGTAACAGTGGGCAAGAAATTGTTCCCTCCTGGCTCATGTTCCTGCCATGTTCCATCCAGTTTTTCTTGCTTCACAATGTGCATTCCAACATACATCCTGTGTGTGCCCGTGTTCTGCCCGTGGCTTCAGGAGCCGGGCGCGTGCTCGGAGGCTCAGAGGCGTGCCTTCCCTTCGGAGCCTAGTTGGCACCTGCTTCCCAGGTGAGCGGGACAGTCTTGACGTTCCGGCTCCGTTGGTGGAGGATGTGACACGCGTGTCTGTGCCGTGCTCATCTGGCCGGGGCGCCTAAGGTGTGGGCACTCCGGCTTCCCCTCAAAGGCCACTTCTCACAGGAGGGTGGGAGGACGTCCACCTGACTGACGCCTTTCGGGCCTCCGTCCTTCCCACCCCGTCGCGAACCTCGTCCTGGCGGACATGGCGGGCACGGCCTGCAGGGCAGCTCTCGGAACCCAGATTCCTGTGAGGCCGCACGAGAGGCCTCGGGTGGCGCGTGGACGGGTGGTGCCGGCCCTGGCCCATGGATCTGCTCCTCGTCCGCCTGCGGTGACTGGGAGCCTGGCCGTGCCGCGTCCCGCGGGGCCTCTGGAAGCCAACTAAGCCGCTGTCCATCTCTTGCAGGGCCGCTGTTCCCGGGAGAACTGCAAGTACCTGCACCCGCCCCCGCACTTGAAGACACAGCTGGAGATCAACGGCCGGAACAACCTGATCCAGCAGAAGAACATGGCCATGCTGGCCCAGCAGATGCAGCTGGCCAACGCCATGATGCCCGGGGCGCCGCTGCAGCCCGTGGTGAGCCCCCAGGTCTGGGCATGCGGCTCGGGGGGCGGCGGGAAGGGCCTCCTAGCGAGCCAGCGGTGCCCCAGCCCGGGGGCAGAGCCGACCTCCTCCGCTCCAGCCTGTCCAGTGTCCGCCTGTTTCGGGTCTCAGGGAACCTCCTGCCCCCCGCCCCCTGCCCCCTTCCCTCCCTGCGGTCATCCAAAGTCGGACTGACCTGGCTCCCTGCTTCCACGCTGTGTCCACCCCAAGACTCGGGCACCGAGCAGGAGTCCACACTCATGGACGTTGCGGGCGTGGGGGGCAGTGCCATGTTCAGAGCAGGAGTTCCATCCCCTCGGAGCCATCTGGGCCTCGGTGGGTGCGGTGGAGTCAGACGCAGAGGGCCCATGCCGCTCACTGGGAGGGGTCGGCTGCCCCCCGGGGCAGGACCGTGCCATGCGCTGAGATTGCACATGTGTGTCAGGGTTTGTGTCACTGATACACACAGTATGTGTGGGGGGGGGGGGGCCCAAAAAAGGCCATTTTCTGAGAGGCTACGACTGCGTGTGTGTGCAGATGGTTTTCTCAGCATGTCCTAACTCCTGAACTTGCTCTCGTCAGCCCAGAAAGGTTGTGTGTGTGTGCACATGCATGCTTATGTGTACGTTTGTGTGCTTGCGCGTGCTTGTGTGCGCATGTCTGTGCAAGTCTATGTGTGCATTGTGTGTGCATGCATGTGCATGTGTGCATGCTCTGCATGTGTGTATATATGTGCTCATGTATGTGTATGCGTGTTTGTGCCTGTGTGTACATGTCAGTATGTGTGTCTACATGTATGCATGTGTGCGTGTGCATGTATATGTGTGTGTGTGTGCACATTTGTACTTGTGCACATGAGTGTGTGCATGTGCATGCTTGTGCATGTGCGTGTGTGCATGCATGCACTTAAGCACGTGTATACGCTTGCACATGTGTGCATGCATGTGTATGTGCGTGTGTACATGCATGCATGTGTATGCATGTGTGTGCGTGTCTGTATGTGTGTGCATCCGTGTTCGTGTATGTGTGCATGTGTGCACGTGTGTGCATGTGTATGTGTTTGTACGTGTTTGCGCGTGTGAGTGTGTGTGTGTGTGTGCGCGCGCATGTGTGTGTGTGTGTGTGTGTGTGTGTGTGTGTGTGTGTGTGCACGTGGGGGGTGTCCCTGTTTCCTCTGCCGCTGTGACAGGTGTCTGAGCCCTTGGCCCAGGGAGGACATCACAAATCTCTGCCTTTCTACCCTGGTCTGTTTCTCCCCGCCTGGGTACTGGGTTAGATACACGTCTGTGTGTGGCCCGTGCTCGCTGCTGCTTTCCCTGTCAGGTGGCGGGAAGCTGGTTCAGGTCACTCTGTGGTTCTCTGAAGCACAGGACTTGGGGCCCTCTCCCGCCTACAACCGGGCCCCTGTGCTTCCGGACGCGCCATCTGCAAACCCACCGCGTGCCTTGGGCTTTTACCGGGAAATCTTCTGTTTCCATGCGGGGCGCTTCTGGGTGGGGGCTTGGTGCTGCATGCCCCTCCCCACCCAGCCTCAGTGTGAGCGAGTCTGAGGACACGGCTCGAGGAGAGGATGGGAGATAGACGCAATCTCTTGACTACCGGGGGCTCCAGTGACCTGAGGACCTCCAGAGCTAGCCGCCCACTCCAAACAGCCGCTGCCCGGACCCAGCTGAGGGTACTTGCTGGATGAGGGGGCAAGGGAAGGACAGGGGCTGCCGGAGCCCAAGGACACCGGCTGGTGGGTGTCGGGGGTCTGACCTGTGACCTGGGTGTCTGACCTGCGACCTGGGGGTCTAACCTATTACCTGGAGGGTCTGACCTTATGACCTGTGACCTGGGGTCTGACCTATCACCTGTCACCTGGTGTACGACCTGTAACCCAGGGGTCTGACCTCTGAATTGGGAGGCTGCTGCAGGGTCCGTGAGGACCCCAAGGGCATCCCATTGGGGTCCTTGTTTGCTCTGAAGTTTTGAGAGACGGGGGTGGACGTGCCGTGAGCCGGGCTGGTCAGGGCTCCCCCAGGCACCCCCCGCCTGTGGACTGTGCCCAGCAGGAAGCAGGAGGGACTCAGCACGCAGGAGCAGTCTCCCCAAGACTCGGGCTCCACCTGGGGACCTCGGAGAGTGACCTCAGCTCCAGGGCTGAGGCGTGGGGGGACAAGGCCCACATCAGGCGAGCGAGAGGGAGTGGGGGGCAGTACCAGGCCACGGGATCCCGGCTATAGCAGAGAGCCACCCCAGCCCCTCCCGAAACTCGCCGATCCTCCCAGCTGCTGTCCCTGAGGACGGCTTAGGGCAGCTTTGCTTCAGTGCAGGGACAGTTCCCCGAATGGACACACCCGCCCCAGGCAGCAGAGACCAGCTGGACACCAGCAGCCTCAGCGGCTCCTGGGGGATCTTCCTCTTGCTCTTGCTGAAGGGGCAGACGGCCACGCGGTCCCCGGTCCCCGGGGTGAGTCCCTGGGTCTCTGTGTCTTGGTCACTCGTGGATGGTGCAGTGACCGAGTCTGGTCTCTGGAAGGTTCTTTCTCTTCCATCTCCGTCCTCTGAGGAGAAGCCTTGGGGGAGGAGCCGTGCTTGCCCACTCCAGGATTCTCCGATAGTGGCGGGGACACACAGGCAGCTTGTAAGTCTGTCCTGGAAGGGTCTGGGCACTGGCGCACAGGCTCCTGGGCCCCGTGGGCAAATGGGCTGTGGGCTCCCAGTGGCTAAGCTGACCTCCACTCACAGCCCAGCGTGCGGGCGCCACCTGGTGGCCGCAGATGAGACATGCCCGGGTGACCCCGAGGGACATTGCCAGTGACCTGAGCAGCGCGAGTCTTGTGCCCCCCTCACTGGCGACCTCGGACGATGCCAACATTTCCTTTAGTCACCTTCCGAGGGCACAGAATCTCGCCGGCTCCTTTTTGTGTGTGCCTGGTTCCCAGCTTGTGCCCCCGTGGCAGGGCAGGGCTGTGTGGGCCCTGTCACCTGTGAGCCCTCCTGGGCGGTGCTCAGGGTCACTCCTGGCCCTGTGCAGGACCTCAGGGACCGTGAGGTCTTGGGAATTACAGCCCGTCAGCTGCGGTGAGGCCGATGCTGCCTGCCTGTGCTGTCACTCTGGCCCTCGGCTCGGGCGCCAGGTTACTCAGACCCTGGTGGCAAGGTCGCAGCCTTTACCTGAACTCAGAAAGTGGCATCACAAACAAAAGAAATGGTACTTTCCGCCGTACCAGAGAAGTGGATGAAATCTGGAGGTCACGAAAGGAAATGGCATCGAATCTGTTTAGCTTCCTGACGGCTATTTTTAGAAAATATGTAATGCGTTTGCTGGTTTCGGTGGCAAAGAAAAACAGTTTGCAAAGCCATTAATGTGTGAGTTCAGCAGTTGTGTAGGGCAAGTGCTGGCCAGCGCCGGCTGCAGGAAGCAGGAAGGGTTCCGAGCACAGACTTGGACCCCAGCCGGCCAGAGGAAGCGCCCCCGGCCACGGCAGGGCCTGTTGGGAAGAGAGGACAAAAAGCCCCTTGCAGGAGAGGGCGAGCCCCGGAAACGAGCCCAGATCAGCCCTGAGGCTTCTCCCGGTCAGTGGATCACAAGCGTTGACATTTATTGATCACGAGAAGTAAACTTTTACCCTAAAAATTATTCCCATCCAAAGTTAAAAATTAATCTTCTAGACGCGATTAAACCTTAATGATGCTTCCTCTCCCTTTCCGTGGTGTAAAGTGCTTCGCATGTCTTCCGTCGGACCTGCTGGGAGCATCCTGGCTCCCGCTTGTCCGGGGGCAGCAGAGGTTGTGGGTAGGGGTCTGGAGGGGCTGCCACGCGAGGACAACAGCCAGAGCAGAGTCCTTGGGGGAAGCGCTGCCCCTCCTGTGCCTGCTCTCGAGCCAGGAAGAGGAGCCTCTTCCCGCTAAGTCACGGGGCGAGGAGTGGCAGCGTCGACAGCGTCACCCCCAGGGTCCAGACCCACCCACCGCCAGACCCACCGCGTAGAGGGTGTCAGAGCAGCTCTGCCTCTGCCCTGGCACTTATTGCCCCCCACCTTCCAGATTGCCGGTTCTCGGAATGTGTCCTGAGCGCAGCAGCTGACCTGCGCTTTCTAAAGGGAGGTGGCGACCTCCCCGTGGCCCCCTCTCCAGGAGGGTCTTGGGGGTCAAACCGGGATAGTGTGGGAGCAGGGGCCTGGAAGGCCAGCCGCCTCCTGACAGGGCTGAATCGTGTCATCAGTGAGAGGCCGGTGGTACCCTTGCTGGGATCAAGACGGCCACGTCCAAGCAACCAGGGTCAGCCCAGGTCATTGCTCGCAGAGGGTTCCCTGCAGCTGCCGTCAGCCTTCTGCACCTTGCGGGAGTGGGGTGTGTAAGTTTCGGGGTGGTGGGGGTCTGTCTGGGGGGTGTGCTGGCATCCACTCTGCAGTGCTGCGGGAGGACAGGCTGCCTGCCGGAGACGAGGCGTGGCTGCAGAGGGAGCGTGGCCACTGCCTAGTGCGGGGGGTGGGGGGGTTGCTTCTGAGTCTAGCAGGTCTATGGGGCCTCCACCAAGCAGATAGCGGCTTCCCCGGACCCCGCGGAGCCCGGGAGAGGGTGCAGCCCTGCCACCTTCTGGCCACGGCGCTCTGAGCCCAGTCTGCACGGCCAGTGTTCTTTATCAGAGAAGTGTGACTTGGAGTAAGCAAGTATGGCATTGCATATGTTCATGGATTGTTACTGCGTCTTGCTCAGGCAGACTTTACGAGGTTGAATCTGATTGGCCCTTGGTCCTATTTGTTAAAATGCTTTCCTTTTCACCAGAAAAATGGTGAGTTTGACCTCAGCTTCCCTACCATTCTAGTAGATTGTGACGCACACGTTTCGACCTTCTGGAATATACCTTCCAGGCGGCCCCTGAAATGCAGTGCCGGGCAACCTTCCCCGTGGCTCGGGTCTCGGCTCAATGGCCCTGCAGTGAGAACCTGCCTGGGTCACGAGTGGGCTTGAAGTGCCTGACGGTCCAACTGTCTGGCCAGTGACTGTCTCTCTCATGTTGTGTCCGGCTGTACCTGACAGACTGGCCTCTGCTCTCAGTGTCTGGCAGTACCTGACAGGCTAGCCTCTCTGCTCAGTGTCCAGCGGTAGGAGTCCAGGTGCAGTCCGGTCTCTGGCGGGACCCTGCTTGCTGGGTTCTTTCTGGTGCTGTCTGGGTCTCCTGCCCCCATGCTGTGGGGTGCCGGGGAGCCCTGGGGTCGGATAGCTCATTGGTGGTCATCGTTCTTAGGGCAGGGGGCGCCAGCAGTGCGGGATGGTTTCTGAGCCAGCAACTCAGAGCGCTCCTGCATGTCCCGCGACCCCCGCTTAAGGTCACTGCGCAGCCTGTCCTTGTCTGTAGCTGAGGGATGGGACCTGCTGGGGCCGGCTCTGCCCAGGGTGCTGTGTGGGGGACTGGACCAGCCTCCCGCCTGTCCCAGCCCTGGGGCCCGGTGTGTCCATCCTCTCCCTGGACCTAGGGTTCAGCAGAGCCCCTGGGGAGCACATCCGGTGACCCCAGAGTCACCCCGTCCCAGCTGCCCTGTGGCTTCCCCTGGACGATGTCTGGGAGGTGGCCTGGCGTCGCCTGAGGCCTGTGCCTGCTCCCGGCTCCCAGCGGGTGGCTGAGTGTCTCCCCACAGGAGGCCGCCTGGGGCTTCTGCTCTGGGTAGTGGGTTCCAGCCAGCAGGCGGCTTCTCCTGGGTGCTGTGGGCCGAGGAATGGCCCCTCTCCTGCGCCATGGCAGTGAGGGGAGTGCCGCCTTGCACATGGCCGGCCCGGGTCCCTTCCCCGCACTGCATAGGGTCTTCTGAGGACCTCCAGTGGTCCCCAGCACCGAAGAATAAAAGCTGTGCCCCGTGGAGACGCAGGACTTGATGTGTGAACGGCTACTGGCCCGCCCGCCCGGGGCCTGGCGGGCGGGGACGAGGAGGGCAGTGTCACCCAGACAGGACGCTGGTGCCCGCTGGCTACCCTGTGATGTTGCAGAGGGCTTTCTCGTGGGTGGGCAGCGTTGGGTGGACGTGGCCTTCCTACAGGAGCATCTGCCTCCCATGGTCCACGTGGGGCGCGTCTAGGCTGCGTTCCCGATCCTGGGTTGAGCCCGCGAGCAGAGGGCCTGCCCCTGGCGCCCGGTGTCAGAGTGACCACTGAGTGAGCGCGCTGGCAGTTCCTCTCCCCAGAGTCACGAGGCAGTGACCGTGTGCACAGCACTCCAGCCGAGTGCATGGAAGTGACCGCTCAGTGGCAGGCGGGGTGAGCGGAGGAGGAGAGGCAGCAGGGAGCAGGCACTGCCCAGGCCCGGCCGGCAGTGCTCATTGCGTCTTGCTCTCTGTTCCAGCCGATGTTTTCTGTCGCACCGAGCTTGGGCACCAACGCGTCCGCCGCCTTCAACCCTTACCTGGGCCCTGTGTCGCCGAGCCTCGTCCCCGCGGAGATCTTGCCGACGGCCCCCATGCTGGTGACTGGGAACCCCGGGGTGCCCGTGCCTGCTGCAGCCGCCGCTGCCGCGCAGAAGCTGATGCGGACGGACAGACTGGAGGTAGGAGGGTGACTCCTGGCCGTGGTGGGTGCGCAGGGGCCACTGCTTCCTTCGAGGCCAGCGCGAAGGGTGGGCCAGTCCAGCAGGGTCCGGGGCCAGGCAGGGGCTCACCATGGTGCCCGCATGTCCCCTGAATCCGGATGCGCCGCCTCTGGCCCAGGGGCAGCGATGAGGATGTGTGCCCGGGGGCCCCCCTGCCCTTCCCGTGGAGGTCGCAATGACCCTCGCCTCCCGTGCTCAGGGAGGGTGTGGTCCGCCAGGTGCCCCTGCTGCTGGCTCGCGCCCCTGGACGCAGCAAGAGAGTGATGGCTCTCAGCCATCTCAGCTTTCATGGGGGATTGGAAACGTCACCGTCCTCGGTGTCAGCCCCGCTGTGAGACTCGTACAGTCGGGTGTGGTGCCGACCTCCTATGGGGGCGTGGTGTGAGTTGGGCGGTGGCCCCTTGGGCGCCCAGCTGTGGCACAGCCCCTACAGTCCCCTGACCAGCAGGAGGCCCGACCCAGCGCCGAGTGGTTCTGTGAGGATGTGTGCCCGGGGCCCCCCTGCCATGGAAGATCCGGAGGCAGGATCCGGCCATAGCGTGAACTGAATCGTGCTGGATTTTCACAAAGCCCAGCGTGCCCCTGTTGCGTCCAGGGCTTTGCTTGCAGGGGAAGACACCGTCCGGGGCAGCGGCCGAGCCCTTCATGTGGGTCTCACTGCCTGTGGACAGACCCGGCACCTGGCCTTGCCCGCTCACCTGACCCTGGGGCCTGGCTCTGGAGGATGCCAGGGTCACTGCACATCTGGGGGCATCACGCAGAAGCCTGTTAAGGTCACGTCAAGGGCCGAGGGAGCAGAACTGACGTGCAGCCTCACCCAGCTGCGTGCTCAGGCTCCCAGTGAGCCCGGGCTGAGACACCCACCTGTCAGGAAGGTCAGGGGAAGCTGGGTGCCCTCAGGTGCCCTGGGGTGTGTGAGTCGCCCTCGGCCAAGAGGCCGAGGGACGCGTCGAGGTCAGCCAAGAGGAACGGCCCCCCCATGTGCAGAGGTAAGAGGACACTCAGCAGATACCTGGGGGAGTTTCAGACGTCCAGCTGTCGGCCCTGCAGCTGGCCCGGGCAGCTGGAGCCCGGCCCTCCGCTTACAGCCCCTGTGCCTGGGGCCGGCCACAGCAGCCCCCCGGAGGCGGGGAGTGGCCCCAGGAGCCCTCCTTCCGTGACTGCTGAGATGGGGTCCAGGCCTAGGACACAGCCCGCGCTGCCCCAGGCCCAGCCCGACTCGGCCTCTCCTCCCCCTGCTGCCCGGCGTGGCAGAGTCCGGCCACACGTGGCCTCTCTCGGCGGCCGATGGCCACGCTCTGGGTTCCGATGGTCAGGTGCAGCATCGGTACCAGGCGATGAGCCAGCGGTCCCCCAGGGCAGCTGATGGTCCACACACGTGTCCCTGCCCGTGGTGGCTATCAGGACCCGCTGGATGGTGTCTCCCGGCACTCGGTCCCCATCCATGCAGCAGTAGGAGTTTTGCCTGCTCAGGGGCTCGGCTGGGGTGCTGGACGCCTGGGGCAGCTGAGGGTGCTTACACGAAAGGCCTGGACGTGGGAAGCGTGACGCAAGCGTGACGGCGAAGTGGCCTGAACAGCGTCTCCTCGGGGCCGACAGGCCGAGGGACGCATCGAGGTCAGCCAAGGAGCTGAAGTATTGAAGCCACAGACGGTTGTGGAAAGGGCTGACCCACATCTGCTGACCACAGCTGCGAATTCTGCACATTTGAGTTTAGAAATGATCAGAAAAAATCAGACACAAAAGAAGATGCTTTTGGCAGTAGTTCCTGGGTGCAGGGAATGCCAGAGAGAGCCGCCCAGCTACCCAGGGAGAGGGCAGCCCTGGGCACCGCTTCCCTGGCAGGGGCAGGCAGTGCTGCAGCTGACCCAATTTGCACTGCGTGGGCCTTGGAGCACTGCAGCGTATAGCCAAGACCCTCAAAAAGTAAAAACAAGGGGGCCAAAGAGAGTACAGGGAGAAGGCACTTGCCTTGCAAGCAACCGACCTCTGTTGGCTGCCTGGCACCACATGGGTCCCTGAGCCCTGCTAAGAGTGACCCTGAGCACAGAGTCAGGAGTCAGCCCTGAGCACAGAGCCAGGAGTCAGCCCTGAGCACAGAGCCGTGGGGTTCTGTCTACGACCTCGAAACCGGCAGAGCTAAAGCGACATGGCAGCTGAAGATCAGGCCTGACCATGGCCCCCGTGGACACAGGCCTGTAAAACTGCTGCTCTGAGCACTGGGAACTGTCCACCAGGGGCTGTGCTGGCCATGAGGGCCTGTCCGAGAGCACCCGGGCCCTCCAGCCTGCGTCCCCCGGCAGTGTCACTCCAGCCCGGGGCAGCCACTTCCCTGTCCCCTGCACCGGCGAGGCTCCGGGTCACTTCAGTGCTCGGTCGTGTCCGCTGCATCCCAGCGAGGGACGGGAGTGCCTGGCCCTGGGTGTGCTGGTCTGGAGGCAGCGGGGGTCTCACCCACCCCCAAGGCTCTTTCCCGAGACAAACTGGGTGCGCAGATGTGGGTTCCCTGGACTTATCAGGGCCAGTTGCGGGCAGGAAGCCAGCAGGACATGGACTTCTTGGCCCAGCAGATCTCCCGTTCTTCCTGCTGAGTGCAGACCCTCTGCTGGCCACGGAGTCCCAGGGCCGCTGGTGGCTGCTGCATCCCCAGCTGGGCAAGCCAGTGAGGAGGGGCTGTTCCCCGAGGTCAGCATGGACAGTAGCGACCCTGTGTTTGTGCAGGGCAGCTGGGTCAGTGGACAGCAGCGTCCCCGTGTCTGCAGGACAGCTGGAGTCAGTGGACAGTAGCGACCCCGTGTGTGTGCAGGGCAGCTGGGTCAGTGGACAGCAGCGTCCCCGTGTCTGCAGGGCAGCTGGAGTCAGTGGACAGCAGCATCCCGTGTCTGCAGGGCAGCTGGAGTCAATGGACAGTAGCGACCCCGTGTGTGTGCAGGGCAGCTGGGTCAGTGGACAGCAGCGTCCCGTGTCTGCAGGGCAGCTGGGTCAGTGGACAGCAGTGTCCCCATGTCTGCAGGGCGGCAGGGCCAGTGGACAGCAGCGTCCCATGTCTGCAAGGCAGCTGGGTCAGTGCACAGCAGCGTTCCCGTGTCTGTGCAGGGCAGCTGGGGTCAGGGGCCAACAGAATCCCATGTCTGCAGGGCAGCTGGGTCAGGGCCTTGGGGCCGTCTCTCTTCTCTCCCGTCCCGAGTGTTGTGTCTCAGAGGACGCCTGTGCAGTCACACCTGTCCCGTCCACATTTCCTCGTCCTACCCTGGGAGAAGAGTGGCCACTCGGGGTGGGGCCAGTGTAGACTGTGCAGCCTAGTGCCACGTCTGAGAGCCTCTGCTCCAGCAGGTCGGAGAGGACAGGCTCTTGTCCAGGGCCGGGGAACAGAGACGGTGCTGCCCACATTGCACCGTGCCCCGTGCTCCCCACTCTGTGTTCCCCACCCAGTGCTCCCCTCCCCGTGCTCACTGTCCCGCTCCTCCCCAGGTGTGCCGGGAGTACCAGCGTGGCAACTGTAACCGCGGGGAGAGCGACTGCCGCTTCGCGCACCCGGCGGACAGCACCATGATCGACACCAACGACAACACGGTGACCGTGTGCATGGACTACATCAAGGGCAGGTGCTCCCGGGAGAAGTGCAAGTACTTCCACCCGCCCGCACACCTGCAGGCCAAGATCAAGGCCGCCCAGTACCAGGTCAACCAGGCGGCAGCTGCGCAGGCCGCAGCCACCGCGGCCGCCATGGTGAGTGGGCGGGCCCGGCGCCTGTCGGTGCCAGCACCCTCCTCCCGCCCCCCGCCTCCCCCTCGCCCCCGGCCCTGGCACCTCCCTGAGGCTTGCCCTCCCTCCCCAGGCCCGAGTGCGTGTCGCGCGGCCGGGCCGGGCCAGGGCGAGCTGGGCGAGGCCACCCCGTCCTGCGCCGCTCCGCCCCGCCTCCCCGGGGACGCTCCGGCTGGTCTCCCGCCGGCCAGCCCCGCGCCCCCGCGTGCTCCCGGCTTGGTCGCAGTCCCGAGGGGGCGCGGGTGCCGAGCACCCCCGCTCCCACGGGCCGGCCCGCCCGACGCGGCGCGCATGCTCAGTGTCGTTCCCGTGGTCGACGGCGTTCCGATGATCTGTTTCCGTTTTTTCTCTCGCCCGATGCACTGCTGCCCCATGGCGCCTCTGCTTGCTGTTTGTGTTAATGCGCTTCACCCCACTGGCCGTGCAACATGTGCTCGCTGCCCGCTAATTAAGACTCAGTCGGCTGTCAAATCACTGAAGCGACCCCTCGAGGCAACCTTTGACCTGGTACTATGACCTTTCACCTTTTAGCTTGGCATGTAGCTTTACGGTAGAGACGACTCTGGTTTTGGTTTTGGTTTGGTGTCCCCCCCACCCGCCCACTTTTTTTTTTTCTTTTTAACTCGATTTTGAAGTGAGAGATTGCTTTTTCTGCGATGAAGCTGTAACGTAGCAACGGAAGGACCGTTGGGGGCGGCGTCCTGGACAGCCCCAGCCGGCGGCCCGCGCGGCCACCGCCAGCCACTGCACTCTAGAACGTTCTCCCGGCAGCCCTGGGACCGTAGCAGGGGGGTGGGGGTCTCTCTGCGTCCCTCTGCTGCATCTAGAACGTTCTCCGCAGCCTCGGGGACGAGGGCGGGAGCCTTTCTCTGCGTCCCTGTGCTGGTCGCTTGGCTGCAGCCGAGGGACGCGGCTGACCAGAGCCGACCCCTGCATGCCGGGCTCTGCATGGGGGCCGGGGCCGGGCGGGCGAGGCGGGCTGGCCGGTCTCAGTCCCTCGGACACTCCCTGCGCTTGTACGCCCACAGTGCAGGGCCACTGTTCTGGAGGGCCGGCTCGGCCCCGGACGCGGCTCGCGCGTGGGTGGGTCGCCTCCTTCGAAGCTTGGACCTTGCTTGTTTTTGGAGACTTTGGTTGACCCCTGCGCCCTCCCCTAGTGCAGACCTCCGCCGTGCTCACCCCGCACTCCCGGGACAGACTGACCCTGTCTTCTCTTCTCTCCCGTTACTGGCTCTCGTTCTCACCCCCGTTCACCGCGCAGGGCATCCCTCAAGCCGTCCTCCCTCCGTTACCAAAGAGGCCTGCTCTTGAAAAAACCAACGGTGCCACGGCAGTCTTCAACGCGGGCGTCTTCCAGTACCAGCAGGCCCTGGCCAACATGCAGCTGCAGCAGCACACGGCGTTCCTGCCGCCAGGTAGGCCGTGGGCCGTGGCGCTCCCCCTCCCACCCTGCCCGTGACCCCCGCTCTGCCCGCGGAAGCCGGGCGCTCCGGCCTGGCAGCGCGTGTCACCCCCGCTCGGGCCTCTCCGCCCGGCCCCACGGTCTGGCCCGACACCATCCTGCTCTTCGGGCCCTGCGCCCACCCCGGGGGCCACTTGAATCCTACGGAACGGCCCTGGAGGCTTGGCTGGCCCCCTCCCCCGTCGGGTGTCGGGGTCGAGGATGCGAATCCTGCCCTGCCCAGAGCACCCCGGAAGCAGAAGCCCCGGGGCCCTGAGGCCCTCGTCCTCCTGGCAGTGACCTGTCCGCCCTGTGGCTGCACTTGGCCCCGCTCTCCACACAGACACCCCAGGGCTCACTGGCCAGACCAGCCGCTCCTTGGCCTGCCCTCTCCGGGAGGAGCCTGGGTGGGCCCATCAGAACCGCCAGGGGCCCATAGCCCCCGGGCTCCCGAGGGAGGGCCCACAGCCCTCCTGCCCATCTTCGCTCACGTTCTTGTGGCCTGAGGTCTGGTGCGCTGGGGGCTCCCCCCGCGACCCTCAGCCTGGTGATGGGGGTGTCCACGACTCAGTCTCCACAGGCACTGAGTGCTGCCCCCTGCAGAGCATTCCTAGGAAGGCAGGCGAAAGAGCTCTCCACACCTGCACCCACACCTGCATCTGTCCTCACATCTGTTCCCTCACCTGCACCTGTACCCTCACCTACACCCACACTCGCACTTGTACCCACACCCGCACCTGCACCCTCGCCTGCACCTGCACCCTCGCCTACACCTATACCCTCACCTGCACCCACACCAACACCCACACCAGCACCCACACCCACACCTGCACCCACACCCACACCTGCTCCCACACTCACACCTGCACCCACACCCACACGTGCACACACACCTGCACCTGCACCCACACCCACACCTGTGCCCACACCCACACCTGCGCCCGCACTGCAGTTATCTGTCTTACTCCTGCATCTGCATCTGCATCCGCACCTCCACCTGCACTCACACCTGCCCTGCTCCTCGAGTTTCCCCATGTCTTCACTTTTCCTCATACCTGTTCCCCCCCACACCTCCTGCCACACCGGGGCCAGCCCCCACCTGCACCTTCTCCTCCTGCTCCCTCAGTTCCATAGGCTTCAGGCTCTGAAAGCAGTGCTCAGGACCTAGGTTAGGTCTGTGAAGTCTCAACCCAGGCTGCTCTGGGCACCCGCAGACCTGACGGGCTCTCGGGAGCAGGAGGTAGGGGGATTTGTGGGCATGGGGGGTTTACGGAGGGATGGGGATAGGGTAGCTTTCAGAGAGGAGGAAGGTTCCTGGTTTGTCACTTCTATTCCCATGAAACCGATTCAGGTTGGGGTTTTTGTTTTGTTTCCGTAGTTTTGGTTTCAGTTACTGGGCCACACCTGCCGTGCACAGGGCTTGCTCCTGGCTCTGTGCTCAGGCTCGCTCCCATCGGGCAGGGGGACCCTGTGTGGTGCCGGGGGTCCAAGCGCCCTGCCCACTGTCCTATCCTCCGACCCCTGGCCCGTCTCAGCAGGCCCGATTCTCTGTGGTTGTGATCTCTGTCCCTTTGCTCTTCTCCTGGGGAAACGGCAGCTATTTCCCAGGGTTCCGTCCTAAATGGCTTTTAAACTCGGCACATTCTTTTCCAGGCAGGCTTAAGAGCAAAAGGAAGAGTGAGCGCTGAGTAGGGATTTTTGTTTGTTTTAATTGAATCACCATGAAATGCACAATTGCAGAGCTATTCATGGGCTTCAGTCAATGATTTTGTTTTTAAGCTGGGAGCTTCTTTGGATATGAATTTTGACAATGATTTAATTGATAGTGAATGTAATTGATCGTTTCCGTCTGAAAGGATATCAGTTGTTTTTACAATACCTTAAATCAGCTTTATAACTTCTTACCATCATCAACAGGCTTGAGTTATTACATCTAAATTCAAACCAAATCATCCACCAAATCTCCATGATAATTCCTTTCCTCTGTTCCTCTCCTCCTTGAAATCCTTTTAACTGCACACATCCTGCTTAGAAATCACCTTCCCTTTATTCCCTGCATCCTTCACACAGATCAATCAGAAACTGTCCAGTGTGTGATTACAGCATGCTCTCCTCAGAAACACGCCTGTGACCCCCACCACCCCCCGCCTCTGGAGCTGCGCAGGGCGAGGGTCCCCCGCCTCAGTGAGGGGGAGCTTCCCTGCAGGCTCCCTGGTCAGCACCACGGCCGTCCAGAACCCTGTTGTCCTTCGAGTCGAGGCCTCCCTCAGCCTCACGCAGCTGCCCATGCCTCTGTGCCGAGGAAGCCCCCTCAGAGACCCCTCAGGCCCGGCCCAGGCTGAGAGCCGGAAGGATCCGCAGGAGGCGGGAGCAAGCTCAGGCCCGTGCTCGCGCGTCCGAGACCTGAGTTCTGGCGGGTGTCGGGAACGGGGCTCCCTGGGTGCCGTTTCCAGCGGCCCCAGCTGCCCTCTGGCCTCCAGGCCGCTGGCCTCAGACTCGGCCCCACCTGCGTGGCTCAGCGGTGGTAGCCTGGGGCAACCCCAGCCCTGCCTCTGCTTCCCCAGCGGGCTCCGTCCTGCGGCTGCTGAGCTTAAGCAGTGCCAGGTCCGAGAGAAACGGCGCCTGAGACAGTCTTGGAGAAAGACCCCCCAGCTCTGTCCTTGGGGCAGCGCCAGTCCCTGCGTAGAACAGGTTCAGGTTCTGGATCGTACCTGCAGATTCTTCCCGGACGCACTTGCTTTTGCCCAGGCGAGTGTCACGGATGTCCCGTGAAGGGCTTTAGGGTTTTGACTTTTAACTTTTTTGGTTTTTAACTTTTTTTTTAAACTTTTTTTTCCCCCTTTGGGTTTTTAACTTTTTTCTTTTCTCTTTTCCGTATGTTGAATTTTTAGAGCATTTGATTTTCCAAATTATGCTAAGACCTCACCCAGCCATCAGTCAGCCCCTTCTGTTTCCCCAGAGACCGAGGGACCAGCAGGGGTCTCGGGGAAAGTCTGTCCCTCGTTCCCTCCAGCTGAGTTCCAGCGAACTCGGGTGGGAATGAACTGAACCCCAGTGAAGGAGAGTGGAAGTCTGGTCCCCTTCCATGCAGAGGGTCGGTCTTGTGACCCGCCAGGCACACGGGCCAAGTGTAGCTCCACCCGGACAGACCCCGCTCACTGCCCGGCCAGCGCAGCCTCGCGGTTCCTGAGGAGCAGGCAGGCCTGGGCCCCTCCCCGCAGAAGGCCCTCGCCTCGGCGGCCGCTCGGCCCCAGCTGCGGCCCAGGCACTGGCTTTCCCCGGAGACGGGCCCAGGTCCCTGCGGGCGGGGGCGGGGTGCTGTCGGTTCCACGCCGTGTTGCTAGAATAACCATTTTTCTTCTTTGTTCAATGAATCTCCTAATGACACGTGTGATGGGACGTTTTAATTCTCTTCCCTTTCCAAACCCGCCTTCCTGTGTCCATGCATGCTGCAGGCTCGATTGTGTGCATGGCGTCCGCTCCAAGTCTTGGTAGGTCCTCTCTTTCTTGATTTTCTCGACCCCCGGTGCCCCTCACAGCCCCTCAAAATCCACCGCTGATCTCACCTGCCCACCGACACACCCACCCTCGTACTAACACCTGTCAATTAAACGCCACTTCCGATTTAATTGACGCGGACACCTACCAGGGCCCGTCCCGCCCGTTGACCTGCGTGCCCGGGGGTGGATTTTGATCGGACTCTGAGTTCTGCTGTGTAGAAGGAAATCGGTCTCCTAAAGTGATGTGCTGTGTGTTTGTAACGGTGGATAAGAAAGCCTCTCTCCCTCCCACCCCAAAACCACGGCTGAAGTAGGCCCTGACGTTTGACTTAAGATTTTGAATGCCCAGGAGCGCTGGATAAAGTTCTCATTTCTGACATAGCAAAGTAAGCGTGTTTGTGTCGATTTTCTTGATTTGATGGTAACGAGCTTTTTTTTTCCCCCTCTTTTTTCTCCCCCGCCCCCTTCCCGCTCTCTCTGGAATGTCGTCCCGCTTTGCGCTGCGGTTGCATGTCACTCGCTGGGATGTCCCTCCACGTGGCTTCTCGCTGTGGTCGACCCTGTGCCCGCCCGTCTCCTCCGTCTTGCCATGGCCCTTACCGCTCCACTCTTCCGTATGTTTGCTTATATGATTTTCCCTCCGAAAGTTCCCATGGTGCACGGCGCTACGCCAGCTACTGTGTCCGCAGCGACAACATCTGCCTCCAGTGTGCCCTTCGCTGCGGCAGCCACGGCCAACCAGGTTTGCTCCTTTACAGCTTTCTTCTTAAGCCCGATCTCGGGGCCGGCTGCAGGCCTTGCACACGGGGCCCTGGGGAGGCCAGCGGGGGCTGTCCGGGGGCTTCAGCATGGGGGTCTCCAAGGCAGCTCTGTCGGCCTGCACCGCCCACCGTCAGGCCAGGCTCCCTCTGCTGAGACGGGCCCGCACACGCCACGCTCCTCGGCCACACGCTGCAGGGTCCTCTGTGAGAGCCCCTCAGGCCGCCCCTGTCTCCACGTGCGCCGAGCTCGCAGTAGGGACGGGGCATCCGTGACCACTGCCGCAGGCCAGTGTCAGCCTCTGCCCGGCCCTGCCGTGCTCCCCAGGCACTGCTCAGGCTGTTCTGAGAACTCAGCCCATGGCCCAGCGCACCTCGTGCTTGGCCGGGACGGCCCCCGAGGGGGCTGATCCCCCAGGTCTGTCCACAGCCCCACCACGCGAGTGTCCTGGCTCACGGCTGTTCTGGTCTCAGGGGATCTGCAGGAGAGGTGCTGCCTTCTGTTTCGGGAGGTCAGACTCGGGACTCTGAGCATGACAGTTTTAAGATCAGTTTTGATTGTTTTTGGATCATAGATTGTGTAACATGGTCAGACCATGCTGACGCTTGTGGTACTGACACAGAAAGTCACTGCAGACCCTACCAAAGTACCCAGACCTCCCCCTGTCCCCATGTCAGCGTCCAAGGACATGATGGTCGAGGACCTCGGGGTCACAGCAGAGCGAGGTGGAGAGTCCAGCTCGAAGGAACCCCAGGCTGAGGCCCTGGGAGGGGACCTGGATGAGCGCCACCCACATGGGTGCAGGCCCCGCCCATGCAGGAGTAGGCCACGCCCATACATGTGCAGGCCCCGCCCACACGGCCCTCTGGCCTCATCTGAGAAGCAGGTTTTTCCCCCGGAGCACCTGGCCTCCCAAGGCAGTGACCCGTGTGCATTATGGCGTGTGAGTGAGGAGGCTGTGGGCGTGACCCGTGTGGGCACAGGTGAGGCTGGACGCCTCGCTGGCTGCGTGCAGCAGTGGGATGGGGATGGGACGGGATTGCAGGGGCCTTTCCTTCGCATTGTGCTGTGACCATCTCATGCATCATCTGAGCGAGAGCCCAGGAAGGAACCCGTGCACATGCAAACACACACGTGCTGTACACGTGCACAGATGCACACCATGCCTCACATATGCATACACACATGCTGTACATGCGCACACACATACACGTGCTGTACATGTGCAGATGCACACTGTGCTACACATGTGCACACACATGCTATACATGTACACATATGCTGTACGTGTGCACACGTACTATACATGTCCACAGATGCACACCATGCTGTACACGCACACACAGGTACTGTACATGTGACACAGTGCTATACATGCACATGGAGGCACTTACAGGCTTTCCATGCCCACAGATGCACACACAGGCTGTACATGCATGTGGTGCACATGGCTGTTTCTGCACAGAGACACACAAATCATATGTTGATGCACACGTGCTATACATGTGCACACATACACGTGAGACAGTGCTGTATGTGCACCCGGATGCACACATGGACTGCATGCATGTGGTTGCACACACAGGCTGCACATCGGGCTATACATGCACACGGGTGCACACTCGGCTGCACATGCACACGGGTGCACACGTACTGTGACTGCATATGCGCGTGATGCCTCCAGCACTAGTGCTGCGCCTGCATGTCTGCTCCGGGCCCACTGGCCCTGGGCATCGCTGCTGCTCGAGCCCCCAGGTCTGTCCACAGCCCCACCCTTGAGGCTTCCACGTCCTGGCCCGCAGGACAGGTAGGACAAGCTCCCTCACGCCCAGGTGCACGCTGCTGTGAGCTGGTCGAAGTGTGCAGTGATGCCCGGGGGGGGAGGGGCAGGTGGAGGCCGCACAGGTCCCCTCGCTCGGCCATGGCCTGTGGGACGTGGAAGCCTCAATGTGGGGGTGAGGTCTCGAGGGCCCCGGGAGGGGGCAGAGGCCTTGGAGCAGCTCCTCCGGTGCCCCCGCCTGGGCTGGCCGCTTCCCCCTCTCTGGGGACAAGCTCAGCCGTGGTCAGGTTCGCCCTCGGCAGCTCTCCTGGGGTTACTCCCCTCTGGGTATCAGTCCCGCGCGTCTCGTGGCACTCTACTCGGCGCGCCCACGTTCGGGACCCTGTGTGCAGGCGTGTCGGCCCACGTGACCGTCTCCTGCTCCTGCTCCCCGTGGCTGGGTCATTGGGCACTCCAGCACCCAGCACGGTCCAGATGTGGGCAACCTTGCCGACAGCCCCAAGCAGGCCCAGCCACTCTGGCACTCGAGGACAAGAGCCTCTTTGCGGAATTTCACTTTTCCTTAAAAACGTCCAGTATTGAAATGTTCGGCTCTTGATGGTTGGCTTGCTGGCCCGGGTCACTCATTAAGTCATTTTTTTATTTACCAGATACCCATAATATCTGCCGAACATCTGACTAGCCACAAGTATGTAACCCAGATGTAGAACTTTCATCAGTAAACAGTAAGTCCACTTCAAGGGTGTCACACAGCCTCTGTGTGCGGCCTCTGGGCAGTCACAGAACATGGTGGTGGGGGTTGGATTTGGAATTGTCTCCCATGGTTCTGTCATGGCGGGTCATGGGAACACACCGTGGAGAGTTCTGAGCCTTCCACGTTGCTGTCGTCTCGTCTCGCAAGAGACAGTCATGGGGAAATCCTGCTGCTAACCACGCTGGGAGCAGGCATGCAGGAAGGGAAAGTAGGAAGCGTCAGGCCCCAGCGCGGGGCGTGTGCTAAGGCCACTCTGCTCCCCATAGCATCCTCACGGGGCCGCACACGTGTGCCCTATCGCAGTCCCGTCCTCGTGTGTGCGTGTGCCCGTTGGCTGTATCACAGTCCCGCCCCCGTGTGTGCATGTGCACACGTGTGCCCGTCGGCTGTATCACAGTCCCGTCCCCGTGTGTGCGTGTGCCCGTTGGCCCCGCCCCCCCTCCCCATGCGTGCGTTTCCAGAGGCCCAAGACAGCACCCGGCACCACACTTCAGAACCGCAGGCTTCCGGTCTGCAATTATAAAAGTGGCTCTGGTACTTTGCAGTGGCCAGTGGCTGTCCCTCAGCCCTGGAGCCTGTCCCCTCCCCACGCCTGCACACGGCCTGCCCAGGCGTCAGACACAGGCACCCGTTCCTGGCATGGAAAAGAGCCATAGCGCTGGAGCCCCGATCTGGCCAGGCGGGGCTGCACCCCCGCCTGCTGGGCTTGTGACACCCGGGCCCCAGGCGGCAAGGTTGAGCCTGAGCTGCAGGGGACGCTGGCTGAGGGGTGCGGGTGGAGGGTCTGGTTCCCGTGGCCCCAGGGCTGTCGCCCGGCCGCCTTTGCGCTGGCGCGGGTTGGGCACCCGCCCCGCACCGCGGTCTCTGACCTCGCGTGTCTCCCCTCCCAGGTCGTACTGAAGAGGAAGGGACAGTGTGCTTGGATGGAGGAGAGAATGAGAGCGAGCGAGACCATTAGCCATATTGTATATACGTCAAGTGACACCCACCGACACCCTCAACCACAGACATCACCTCTTGCATGAGACCCAGAAGGCCGGGCCGGAGCCGCACACTGTCGCCTGACGCCTCGGACGTGGCTCGGTCCGGGTGCGAGGTGGCGCTCCTGCCCCTCAGACCACCGCCGTCTTAGTTCCTAGCACAGTTTGCTCGCGAGGCGCGCCGGGGTGGGTCCCCTGCCACCCGGCCGCCTCGGAGGGCCGACCGAGGTGACCACGGTTCTGGTAGCATTGGTACGCCTGTAGACCAAGATATAATTTTTTAAAAACTAAGTTTATTTCTTTCAAGGTTTACAAAAACAAAGGTGCACCTTGTATTTGCAATCGCCGTTGCCGCGGAGAGCGCGTGCCGTCGTTTCCGTTTGAGAGAGAGAGTTCTGGTGTGAGATTGTGAGGCGTGGTGGGGGTCTGACCGACGAATGTGCCAAGCAGGGCCGCAGCTGTGTGTCTTCAAAGCACATCATGGCTTAAGGACCATGTTGTCAAGGATTCTCATGAAGTGCCATAGACTGCATCAAATCGAGTATTATTTCTTCAGTGTTACTTTCCGAGCCCGGGACTCAGCAGGCAAAGGGCACCATTCTTTCTTGTTTTGTTTTGTGTTTTGAAACCAAAGCTGTCTCAGAAATGGCCAACTTAATCGCAGCACTCACGGGCAGCACAACACACACACTCTCGAGACAGACAGACTCACACCTACTGGAGATATATAATAGATAGATAGAGAGATATATATAAAGTTATTTTAACACATCGTCGTGGACTATTCATGCCCACTAGACCGTCTAACACGCCACTTCAAAAGGGATGTGCCATTTCTGAGACACGAGGACAAAAGAGATGTTTGAAGACGTTATTTTGCTTCTATTTATAGCTCTGTGAAAAGTCAAAAGACTATAAATGCTTTGCAGAAATGCTTTTTCATTTGCTCACCAGTCACATTTAACGGTAAGAGTGACTCTAAAAGAAGCAAGCAGGTCTGTCATCAGATGCATGAAAAAACCAAAAGAGTTGAAAACGGAAACGTTTGATGAGCCTAGCCACTGGGTGGGTTAAGTACATGGGTGAATTTTATATATTTTTGTTGTTGTTGTGGTTCAGATTAACTGCTTATAGCCTTAGAAAGCCTTTTACAAAATTTTAAGAGAAATAGATGTGCATTCAGTTTTTAAGAATGGATTTATCCAAAGGAAGTCTTTTCTTTGCTTTCTTTCCTTTCTGTCTTTTTCTTTTCCTTGTGGTGTGGATGTCGCAGCTAGGCAAGGGTATTTTTGCTCTGTTCGGCGGTTCTGGTTCTGCAAACAGCCGGGCGGGGGCGTCACTGGTAGTCGGGAGTGGGGAGGGAGAAGTGGGGTTCCCTTGCAGAACCCCCGTACTCCCGCGTTTGCTGCAGGTTTTGATGCTTGGGAAAGAAGCTTTCTAGTTCCAGACTGGTGTCGATTTTACTGATTGTACTGTGCATCTATTATGCCTTAGCTACATTACGGGTTGGAGCCCATACCAATGTGTCCCAATCGTGTTCAGAGAGTGAGGGGTCTCACGTTATTGTAGTTAGTGACATTAGAGAATAGGACTTATTTTTCTTGTTAAAAGGTAGATTTTCATTTCCTACATTTATTAGATTTCATTTTCTATTAACAATTGAATACCATTTCAGTTTATAGACTATTGTTTTATTAGATGTTACCGTTGAATTTTTTCAAAATACAAAAAAAAAACCCTTAAAGGTAGTTTTCCTTCATAACATACTCAGTTTTGAATTACATGTAGTGTCATATGAATATTCGTATTATTGTTAACTAAATGATTTATATTTTACTGATTTAATATTAAAGTGTAAGAATGTCAGTCTTGTTCTTGTCTAGTTTTCATTAAAAAGAACAAAGATCTTTTATATGGATATCTTATAAATATATAATCATTGCTAAGTAAGAAGTTCTGTTGTTGCTATTGCAACAATCCTGGCAGACAATTGAGTAATATTTTGATGATTTATTTTGTTTGTAATTAGTTATTATAAGAAGATCTAGATCCTAGATATTAGAATAAAATTTATTTTCTACTGTATCCATTTCAAATGTTAAAGTATTGTTTAATATTTTTGAAATCCCTGAATATCAGGCCTTGTTATAAATAAGCTGCATAATCAATAAATAGAACAAGGGACTTTTTGTTGATAATCCAAATACTCCAAGTTTACGGAAGGAGAATGGTAGCGTGTGTGCAACTCCCGAAGGCCAGCTATGCTGCCTGCAGTGGGAAGCGTGTTGGAGCGACGCGAGAAGCCGACTTTTTGCACTTCTGTATATAGTCAAAGAGAGAACCTGTATAATAGTAAGATCTTATTTTGAATAAAATGTCTATAATTCCCCGGAGTTTTGTTAAGGCTAGCAGACAGCAGACCGAGCAGGATCCCTCGCGAAGGTGTCCGCGCCCCAGTGTGCCCTCGCTTTTGTGCACAGCTTGTAGTTCGCCAGGATATTCTCCGCGGGAAAGAAACGCCGCCCGCCCGGGTCTCAGACCGACAGACTCCACGGGGCGAATCCGCCCGAAGACCATCACCAAAACAGCAGGAACTTCAACCATTGAGGCGCAGCCATGGATCAGAAACTCCTGACATTTTTCAGAACTACTGCATGTTTAAAACTTCAACAACAACTACAACAAAACAGAGAAAAAGGACGATACTTAGGACACACTCAAACCTGTTTCTGCCAACCCCGGTGGTTTCTTGCTCACACACACACACACACACACACACACACACACACACACACACAGAATCTTCAGGACAATATTGCCTTTCACAAGATCTCGACCATCTGCAGGCAAAGCGAACAGCTCACCGTAGCTCTAGTCGTTATGTGATTGGTTTTTAATTGCTATAGGATCCTGTTCTTCCAGCAGGGGAGGGGATAGAACACAGTTCAGATTGCACGGTTTGACTTCCCTCTGAGAAGCACTAGACATGGCAGAGTGGCCAGGCAGGCACTTGAATCTGCCTCCAGCCTCCCCCGGCTGGTGGCCGAGTGGCACTTACCAGCACCCCTGCACACCTGCTGAAAGAACAGACGCTTGGTTTTACTATTATGTAATCAAAACTTACTTTCTGCTTGTAGTTGCCTATAAATTACGTATTTTGTCTTGGGCTGCATTTTGTTTTATGCTTATTTTATTATCACTGCAGTAGTTGGCTTTGCTGTATGGAAAAATAAAGTGGAATTGCCCTAATAAAACTTCTCTTTCTTAAGTATATTTGAGTAGCTGAGGTTGAAGTGTACGTTCTTTCCTGCGCCTCCCGAGCATGTGTGCGTGTTTGTGCCTTTGACCCGTGTTGACATGGAGTGATGTGCCATGGAACATGGTTTTCATGGCATGGAGACCCCCCCCACCTGTGGCGGGCTATGGTCACAGCCTCTCTGTTGAACCCTGAGGGCATGTTGGGCTCAGTGTCTCCTGAGTGCCCAGTCCACTTCTGACACTGTCTGGGAGAATTACAAGGCCAGAAAGGGCTTTCATCACTATCCCTAATTGTCCTCCTAAGGACCCACTGTGCTGTGGACTGGGGATGTGGTTTGGACTGGGTGACTGAGGCCTAGCAACAACAAAAAGCAAAAAAAAGGGGAAAACAATAATCATGTGTGTCCTGGTGCCCCAGGAGACCAGCCTCACACATGCGCAACCTGATGAGACAGACACTTGGTGATGGAATGACACACCCCTTCGATTCACAGTCAGGGCCAGGCCCCAAACACACTTCTCCAGGACACGATGGGAGCTGATAGTGTGGGTCTGCAGGCAGTGTGCATGTGTGTGAGCTCCACGTGTGTATGAGCCTCCACGTGAGCCTACATGTGTGTATGTGTGAGCCTACATGTGTGTGGGCCCACATATGCTTGTGTGAGCCTTGGTGGATGGGTACCTATGTTTGTGTGGGGATGCTAATATGTGCATGTATGTGAGCCTGTGTGGATGGCTGCCAGTATGCGTGTGTAAACTTGCGTGTATGGGTGCCTGCATGTGTGTATATGAGCCTGTCATGGGTGCCTGCACGTGCTTGTGAGCCTATGCGCATACATACGTGTGAGCTGGTGTGTATGTGAGAACATGTGTACATGTGTGGGTCTGCATGCCTACTGTGTGAGCCTACATGCCTGTGTGGTGTGTCTGCATGCCTGTGTGGTGCCTTGGTGTGCCTGTAAGTGAATGTGTTTGAGGGACACATTTCCAGTAGCCACGGGCCACCTTCTAAGCCAGCGGCAGGTGGTCCCACTGAAGGGCTGTTCCACTCTGCTCTTGTTGCTCCCGCTCGCTGGATGAAGGTTCCCGCCGTTGGACGACCCTTCGAGCCCCTCGGGGCTACCTGTTCTAGGCTCCCTGCCCAGCTCTGTTTTTCCCATCTCTTGGGGCCCCTGTTCCGAGACCACTTCTGCTGCCAACGTGCTCTCTCCAGGTGTTTGCAAGGCTGCTCCGGAGAAGGGGCCCCCCAGCAGCTCTCGGCCAGGTGGCTACTTCTCAGAGCTGGAGCTGCTCCCAGGGGCCTGCCATGTGGGGATTTGCTGGGCCACCGAGGTGGGGCTCCAGGGCCCACACATGCCGAGGAGTCTAACCCTGTCTGGGTTGGGTTTGTCCGTCTCACCAAATGGACATGATTCTCTCCTGACTGCATGAGTTCACACCTCTTCGAGTCCCTCACTGACACGTGATTCCACCCTCCCTGAGCAGAGACGCAGGAGTCAGCCCTGAACACTGCCGCGTGTGGCCCCAAAACAAACCAACCAAAACCAACATCTTGAAATATGTCAGATGTGTGCTAGTAAACTGTTAATTTTATAGAAAATACCGACATTCAGATTTTTGTTTGGGGTGACATCAGGTCATGTTCAGGGCCAACTCCTGGCTCTGCTCTGGAATTTCTCCAGGCGAGCTTGGGAGATCATGTGGGTGCCGGGGACTGAACCCCAGCTGGCCACATGCAAGGCAAAGGCCCTCCCTACTGCACCATCTTTCCACCACCCCCTCAATAGTTGTACCTGATGAGAGTCTAAATGGATCTACAAGCCCATTATGGATGTACGTTCTTATTTGACCATTCCTGGTGGCTGACACCATGTGAGCACTGTTTGATGCGAGTTCTCATGACCTGAGAAAGGACTACACACCCCAGGGATGGTTCTGTGGCAAGGGTGTCTCCACCCAGACAGCAGGTAGTGCTGTGGAGGTTGGTGAATCTTGCGCCACCACCAGGTGGCGCTGTGGAGGCAGGTGGGTCCTTCACCACCAGCAGGTGGCGCTGTGGAGGCGGGTGGGTCCTTCACCCCCAGCAGGTGGCACTGTGGAGGCGGGTGGGTCCCTCAACCCCAGCAGGTGGCTCTGTGGAGGCGGGTGAGTCCCCCAGCAGGCGGCACTGTGGAGGCGGGTGGATCCGCATCCCCCATCAGGTGGTGCTGTGGAGGCAGGTGGGACCCTCACCCCCAGCAGGCAGCGCTGTAGAGGTGGGTGGGTCTGGCGCTGTGGAGGCAGGTGGATCTTGCACCACCACCAGGTGGTGCTGTGGAGGCAGGTGGATCTTGCACCACCACCAAGTGGTGCTGTGGAGGCGGGTGGATCTGCATTCCCCAGCAGGCGGAGCTGTGGAGGCGGGTGGGTCCCTCACCCCAGCAGGTGGCGCTGTGAAGGCGGATGAATCCGCATCCCCCCACCAGGTAGCGCTGTGGAGGCAGGTGGATCCCGCATTCCCCAGCATGCAGCTCCATGGAAGCGGGTGGGTCCCTCCCCCCCTCCCCCCCTCCCCTCCGACCAGCAGGTGGTGCTGTGGAGGCAGGTGGCTCTGCACCGAGAGTGCGGCTTCCCCGGTTTCCCAGGACTGGTGTGAGGGTGTGGAAGACCACCTGCAGGGTCCCTCATGCCAGCGAGAGGCGGGAGACACCCTCCTCCAGGTGCAGGGCTGAGTGTGGCCAGCAGGCGGCAGTGCTGCTCCAGCCAGGAGCCTACCGAGCCCCTGGCGCTTCTGCAGCCGCCCTCACCGGCCTCTGCTGGGCTCCTGTGGACCCGCGTGGCCCCCACGGACACTCCCTCCACACCCATTTCTCAGGAAATAGCCACCTGAGGCCCAGCACTCTGGACCTGAGAAGTGCGTTGGCCAGAGAGCAGGGAAGGACTTGCTGCCAGGGGCCAATCCTGCTTGGGCCACCCGAGCCCAGCACCACAGAGCCTGCCCCGAGCACCACCAGGAGTGACCCCGAGTACAGAGCCAGGAGTGACCAGGAGTGACCCTAAGCACAGAGGTGGGAGTCATCCCTGAGCACACAATCAGGAATCAGCCCTGAGCACAGAACCAGGAGTCATCCCTGAGCACACAATCAGGAGTCAGCCCGAGCACAGAACTGGGAGTCAGCCCTGAAGCAGGTGTGCCCCTCGCAATAAAAATCATGTTGCATTTGGGGTGCATCTGCAGCCCCAGTGAGGGGCAGGTGCTGAGAAATTCTCCCGTGGAGCAGCAGAGGCTTCCTGAGGCCCGGGGTTTTGAAGAGTCTGAGTGTCACAGAGAAGGTCCTGGGATCCCCCTCTGGCCACATGTACCTGCCCCTGTGTGAGGCTGGGGGGCAGCGGTGGGGTGTGGGGGTCCCCGGGGCCCCAGTCGTACAGCTGAGACTCAGGCCCGAGAGGAGCAAGTCATGGATCCGAGTCAGGTGCCGGCCTGCCCCAGTCAGGTCCACCTGCCCCAGGGAAGCGACTCGGCCATTGACCAGGGGCCCCCATGGAGCAGGGAGCGGGGCCAGGGACCAGTCCTCAGCCTGCTTCCCGGGCCCTGGTGAGGGATGGTGGCCCGAGTGAGTCACCATGGAAGGGGCAGGGGTGCCTGCTGAGCCCACAGAAGCACCTGCAGGGATCGTGATTGGCTCCCCGGGAGCTTGGGGTGGTGGTGGGGGGTGCGGTTGCAGGACTCACTGTGTCTCCACACCTATTCCTCCTCCTCTGGGAAGTGGCATTTGCCTCACTCATGGTTCATTGATTTGGGTTCTGGAGCCTCTAGCAAGAAATTGCTCCTGACCGTTGGAGTTGCATCAGTTAAGATCATTCACAGGGAACAATGGATGAGACGTGCGTCTCCTCGAGGCTCGCTCCTGGCCAGTCAGGACATGGGGGCACCCGGGAAGATGCCTGGCTCAGCCACAGGAAGGGGGTCTTGTCGCAGGGAGGGGGCAGGCAGCCACAGGCCGGGGTGCAGGAGGTGGAAGCCACAGCATTGTGTCTCCAAGGGGAGAGAAGAGGGGAGCTTCCTGCTCTGTCCTAGGAGACAGAGGGACCGTCCCCAGTGTTCTCAGGCCGGGCTCCTGGGCACTACTGCTGGCTTCAGCCCCCGGGGCATGTGGGCAGCTTCTCCAGGCAGCCCTGCATGTCACCTGGAATTCTGTGGGTGACACGTGAGTCCTGCCTGGCAGCCCCGCCCCTCTGCCCTTGGCCCCTCTGTGCAAGCTGGGAAGAACGGGAGACCCCTCCCCTCAACTCCAGCCCCTTCTCAGTTCACGCCTGCGTCTTTGCCCCCGGGAGCTTATTCCTAGGACGACTCGCGGAAAACTAGACAGCGGATGGAGAAAGAAGGAAGCCCATGGTTAGCACACCTCCCCCAAGATGCACTTGGTTCCGTCACGGCCGTCCCCACACAGGGGCTGCATGTGGGTGCTGGGAGGGGGGTTCTGTAGGTGGAGGGGGGGCGGGTCCAGAGGGCAATTAAGCTCAATTGTCCATCGTTCATAAAATACTAAGGAATTTTTTTTTTTTTTTGCATTTTGGGTCTCACCCGGAGATGCTCAGGGGTTACTCCTGGCTCTGCACTCAGGAATGACTCCTGGCAGTGCTCGGGGGACCATATGCAATGCCGGGGATCGAACCTGGGTCAGCTGCATGCAAGGCAAATGCCCTACCCGCTGTGCTATCGCTCCACCCCCAAATACTAAGGATTTTTAAACACAAACTCCATTTCTGAAAAGTCTCACTAAGAACGATGTCAAAATCTCAACTTGAGTCCAAATGTTTGGGTGCTACTTAAGTGAGTTAGAGCTGTGGCTAGCCCACACCACCTCGCGGGACAGTCTGGGCAGGACGGTGAGTGAGTGACAGGTGCTATGTGGGGGGGAACAACCAAGGCTGAGTGACACACGGAGGTCATGCCAGCTCTTCCCAGAGAACAGAGTGCCTGTGGCTCAGAGCGTGGAACCTGGGACCCCCTGCGCCTTACTAAGTCGTGGTCC